CCAGTGAATAGCACAGTTCCTGGAACATGGTAAAGCACATCCATCTATCCATCCATCCATCCATCTATGTATCTATCTATCCATCCATGTATCTATCTATCTATCCTCCATCCATCCATGTATCTATCTATCCATCCATCTATGTATCTATCTATCCATCCATCCATCTATCCATCCATCATCTATCTATCTATCTATCTATCTATCTATCTATCTATCTATCCATCCATCCATCCATTCATCCATGTATCTATCTATCCATCCATGTATCTATCTATCCAACCATCTATCTATGTATCTATCTTATCTATCTATGCTATTTACACACTTTAAAGCATAGCATAAAAGTCAGTTATTATTTTTACAGATGGTGAAACTGAGGCCTGGAGATAGGAACTGAGTTGTTCAAGATTCCTTAATCAGTAAATGGTGGGGATGAAATTTGACCCCAGGTACTTGACTCCAAGCATCCATCACACCATTACCTCCTCTCTTAACAAAGCCTTACCTCATCATTGGCCTGAGGGTAGAGGACAGGCAGGTGAAGAATTGGTGCATCCATAGGTTTAGAACTGGAAAGACCTTTGAGGTCATTTAGTCACAGAGTCATGGAGTTTCAGCATTAGAAGGGACTTTGGTGGCCATTTAGTCCAGTATACAAGGGACAAAAAATCCTCACTACAAACATACCCAACAGGTGTCTGAAGTTTCCCAGTGATGTGCAAACCCGCTTCCTCCTACAGCAGCCCATTCCCCTATAGGACGGCTCTCTTTCTTTCTTTCTTTCTTTCTTTCTTTCTTTCTTTCTTTCTTTCTTTCTTTCTTTCTTTCTTTCTTTCTTTCTTTCTTTCTTTCTTTCTTTCTTTCTTTCTTTCTTTCTTTCTTTCTTTCTTCTTTCTTTCTCTCTTTCTTTCTCTCTTTCTTTCTCTCTTTCTTTCTCTCTTTCTTTCTCTCTTTCTTTCTCTCTTTCTTTCTCTCTTTCTTTCTCTCTTTCTTTCTCTCTTTCTTTCTCTCTTTCTCTCTTTCTTTCTCTCTTTCTTTCTCTCTTTCTTTCTTTCTTATAATTTATTTATTTTTAGTTCTCAACATTCACATCTGTAAGATTTTGAGTTTTAAATTTTCTCCCTCTCCCACTTCTGGGATGGCTCTTTTTCAATGTCAAGCCTGAATTAGCCTCTTTGCAATCAATCAGCCAGCATTTAAGCACCTACTATGTGCCAGGCACTGAGCATATAAATACAGATGATGAAACAACCCCCATTCTCAAGGAACAACTCCTGTTCTCATGGGGCAACAAGAAGTATGTAGAAGTATTTAAAGAATAAACAGAAATTAACCCAAAATGTTTAATACAAGGTAGTTGGGGAGGGAGGGCACCAGAAGTGGAAAGATTTCATATACAATGTAGTGCTTGAGCTGGCTCTTAAAGAAAGCATCAGATTCTCTAAGAGGGAGGCAAGGAGGAAGTGCAACCCAGGCATGGAAACCAGGGATGGAATGTTGTGTGTGAAGACCAAAGAGAAAGCCAGTTTGGCTGGATCAGACAGTGGCCCACGAAGGGAGACCCATTAGAAGAACGTTGAAGTCATCTGGGGTCAGAACTACAGGAGAAGTAGAGAAAGGGTGTGGAATGGGAGAGAGAAGGCGAAGGCACAAACAGTAAGACTGAGCCTCTGATTGGACGGGGAGTAGGGGATAATGCTAAGGCTGCGAATCTGAAAGAATGAAAGGATGGTGGTGCATCTGACAAAAGCAGGGAAATTAGAAAGAGTTAGTGGGGAAAGAGAATAAATTCAATTTGAGATGTATGAGTTTGAAATGTCTATGGGAGTGTTTAACAGGCACCTGGTGATGCAGGACTGACAGAGCCTTGGACTGGAGATGTAGATCTGGGAGTCCTCTGTAAGGAGGTAATGATGAAACCCATGAGAGCTGATGGGTTTAGGAAGAGAGAAAATGTAAGGAGAAAGGATTGACCAGGATAGAGTCCTAGGAAGGAGCCACAGTTAGAGGATGTGATAAGGATGCTGAGACAGCAAAAGACACTGAGATGGAGGAACCATTGGGAGAGAGGAGGGTCGTGAAATCCTAGAGAGAAGCTAGGATGAGAGGCTGGTCAAATGGAGGCCATTAGATTTGAGAAGTAAGAGGTCACTGGTCATTTTAGACAGAGAGCTTTCCGTTGACTGATGGGGCTGCCAGATGATAACTGACATCCGTGGATTTTGCCATCCAGCGCCAAGAACAAACCCAATTCCTGTTTCGTATGTTAGTTAGCGTGGCCTCCCTGAGCCTTTTCTTTTCCCAACTTAACACCCTTTCTCCATGATTCTTTCAGTGGCTCCTCATGGGAGGTAGGCAGGCTCAAGGCCCTGCTTTCTTCTGGATGCTAGGCAGCTTACAAATGACCTGCCTGGACCAAACACAGTCTTCAGGAGGTGATTTGACCTCTCCGGCAGAGGACAAAGGAATCTTCTGGGTTTTGTAGGCTACGCCTCCAATGGGGGCTCAACAAACCATATGAAGTGGGAGCTATGGCGATACAGAAGAGGAAGACTACTGTGGGATGGCCTGGTCAGGGAAGGCCTTTTGGAGGTGGTGGGGAGTCAACTGGGCCTTGAAAGAAAGGCACTGGGACATACATGGTGAAAAGAGTGATGGCGGCCAGAAGGCAGATGACCTGGGTGTGAGTCTTAGCTCTGCTCCTTCCTGGCTAGGTGTGACCTTGATCAAGTCCCCTCGAAGTCTTGTCCGGATTACGAATCCAGGGCTCCCTGCCTTCTGTTCTTCTTAACCAACTGTAGCTGGTTTACATGCCCGTGGACCCAGCTGTCATGGAATGAATCCTTGGAGAGGTTAGGATTTAGTCCAGTCCTACCATGGCAGCTTCAAGCCCTTGACATGGTCTTTGTGAATCTCTGTGCACATGAAATTCTGCCCTTTTTGGCCCACTTCTGTATTCCGCTGGGCTGGGCCTCAGGCCACACACACACACACACACACACACACACACACACGCACGCATGTGCACACAGGCCCAGCCCATCCTGGGAGCCCTCCTTTGTTGGTAGAACCACCATAGCGTGCACTCGGCTCCCAGAGTTCTTGAGACTCCACAGTTAACCTCCATGCCTCAGTGAAGCATTGGAGGGCAGAAATAATAATAATAATAATGAACAATAACAACAATAATGATATCACTTCCTCACAAGAAGCCTGTGTTACAGGGAGTGTAAGGATAATCAGCCTTCTTTTACAGATGAGAAAACTGAGATGGAGGGAGTTTAAGGGACTTGCACAGGGTCATGTCATTGTTCAGTCATTTTTCAGAGTCTGTCTCTCCATGGGCCCATTTGGGGTTTTCTTGGCAGAGACACTGGAGTGGTCTGCCACTTCCTTCTCCAGCTCATTTTCCAGACATGGAAACTGAGGCAAGCAGGGTGAAGTGACTTGCCCAGGGTCACACAGCTAGGAAGCATCTGAGGCCGGATTTGAGCTCAGGTGGTCCTGACTCCAGGCCTGGCGCTCTGTGCACTGGGCCTCCCGGCCGTTCCATGATTCGGACTACATCTTTGTAAAATGGGGATAATAATAATACCTATTTACAGGTTGTTGTGGGAACCAAATAAGATAATACATGTGGCTGTTATTTTATTATTATTATTACTGGATATTGGGGAGGAATGGACATAGAGCCTAGAAAGAGAAATGCCAGACAGAGAAGTTTGTGTTTTCTCCTAGAGGCAATAGGGAACCACTGAAGCTTCTTGAGCAGGGAGTAGTCCAGTCAGTTATGTGTGCAAAATGGACCTCGGTTTTCTCATCTATAAAATGGGCGCATCCAACCAGCAAGCCTCAAAGGCACCTTTCCAGCTGGTGCTTCCTTTTGCTCTCGCCTCTCTGGGCTTCTTCCCTGGACCCTCTTTCTAGCCCTGAGAATAGCAAGGGGATGGGAAGAAAAGTCGGGGGAGTAAGCCAAGTCACTTGATTATTTTCTACTTTATTACTCCAAATTAACGACCACAATAAAGCTCCAAAAAGTCCAATATTTACACAGGAAAAAAGTACAAAATTCCCCCCAAAGTTCTTCAGTATTTTTTTTTCCATTTTTTTAAATTACAAAGTAATAAAAAGATTTACTCTTTAGTTAAAAAAAAAGAAAAAAAAGACAGAGAAAGAGGGGTAAATAAATTAGGAAAAATAGCCCAAAACAAACGCAAAAACCAAACAAAAACAAAAACTTGTGTTAAATAGAAAGCATTAAAAAAAAGCCAATTCCTCCCTGGGCACTGTATCTTCTCCTGGATCCCCCCACTTCTCGGGGAGCAGGGCAGCGGAAGGGTGCAGACGGACAGGTGGGGCTCCCAATGGTTCACTGGAAACCATTTGTCTCTGACAATCATTCCCAAGGATTTCTCTTCCCCAACAAGGGTGGTGGGAGTGGGGAATGTCCCCTGTTCCGCTGTAGGACTGGATCCAAGCAGGGCTTGGGTTCTCCTTTCCTGGGCAGCCCAGGAGAGAGGCCTTCTGGCCATCAAAATCGGGATAACCAAACTGAAGTGTGAAGGGGTTGGGGGGAGAAGGGGCCTGTTGTCCCACAGCATCCTGCAGGGACCCTGCCAGGCCCTTAACGCTCATCCTGGAGAATACACAAAGCCAATAGACACACACAGTCACACTCTCGGACGTACCCACAGCCACGCCATCCACCACTGCCCCCCACCCCCACCCCCCTACCAGCTTCCTAGAAATCCTCTTGAGGCTCCGGGCTCACAGCTGCCTTCCCTTCCCTGCCAGGCTCCAGGGGCTAGGGAGAGAGGGAGGGGCCCAGGCCCCCAGCTTCGCCCAGGACACCCCAGATCAGTGCTAAGGAGAGAATGGGGTGAGGATGTCAGCAAGCATCCAGTGACCCCACGAGTGACCCTTGAAAGCTGGCATCTTCTGAGGCTTCGAGGCCTGTCTAACCAAGAAACCCAAGACCCCACGGACAGAGTCAGGGCCTCAGGGAGTCACGAGTTTACTTTCACAAAACAAAATGAAATCCAGACAGCTTCTGCCAAGTCCAAGCCTTCCCTTTCCTCTTCATCCAGAGGTTGGCTCCTCGGACCCAGAGGATGTTCAGACCAACATTGACACAGAAACAGGAGTGTGGGGTGGGAGGGCAGAGGGGCCCTGACCACTGGAGCCCCCCCAGTCTGGGCTAGGAGGAGGAGAGGGAGAGCCCCCACTCCCCACACCCCCACCCACTGCTCAGGGGTGGCAGGCATGGGGAGGGCCTTGGCGTGGCTCCAGGCGGGGTGAGTGGTGTCTTCCCAAAAGGGTCCCTTGGTGGGGTCTGGAGGGCAGAAGGCAGACGGGGGAGGAAGGCAGACACCAGGGCCAGAAGTCGTGCAGTGGGAGCTTTGTGTCTCTTCTCCATTGGCAAAAAAAAAAAAAAGAAAGAAAAAGAAAAAGAAAAAAGAAAAAAGAAAAAAGAAAAGAAAAGAAAGAAAGAAAAATCCCAGATAGCAACAAAAATCTGTTGTCTGTTTTGTGGGATTTTTTTTCATTTTCTTTTTTTAAGTCTTTTTAAAATTTTTTTTAAAAGAAAAAATACAGTGAAGACACTGTAGAGGGACAAAGAAAGAGAAATAATTAGGAGTGACCCCTGACCTGTATCCCAGCCTCTTTGTCCACGCCCTGTCCCACTCTGCTAGACTACGCTAGTTCCTTGGGAGTAGGGAACAGAATCTAAGAAAGGATTCCAATTTGGCTTCCAACACTTCCAGGCTGTGTGACCTTAGGCAAGTCAATTTACCTCAGCTGTATGCAGGGAGTAGTGACTTAATCAGTCCAGCTTTACTAAATCCAATCTGGCGCAGGCCCAGATGTCCTGCCCTTGGAGCCTATGTCCCCAGGGAAAGAGGGTGGGGGATGGTCAGTCTTTTCCTCAGACTTCTCTTTGCATCCCCCGTTACCAGCACCGTGGCCGGCATGCGGCAGCTGCTTAATAAATTTTGGATGACTCTCCCTAGCATTCATCCTCCTCTTCCCATGCTCAACTCCATCTCCCGAAGGGAGGATGCCCACATGGAGGAGTTGGGACAGGCCCAGAGAACAGGCCCTAAGGCTGAGGAGACGGGCAGGGGCGAGGGCCAGGGGCTTTGGTCACCCCAGGAAGAGGGTGACTTACCTAAGCAAACACTGGTCCGGTGGCATCTTTCCCTCACTTCCCGAGGTGGTCAAATGGCACGCTTGTCTGGAGGAGAGTAAGGACATCCAGATTACACGGGATTATATGCATTACAGACGGATCTAGAAGGTGACTTGGAGACCATGAAGTCTGAACTTGTTTTACAAATGAGGAAACTGAGGCCCACTTCCAATCCCACCTGTCAAATGTCACACAGGTTGGGCGTCTCTGAGGCAGGATTTGAACCCAGGTCTTCCCTGACTCCATACCCAGTGCTCTATCAACTGTGGTAACATTGCTTCTCTGGGCAGCTAGGTAGCTCAGTGGAGTCAGGAAGACTCATCTTCATGAGTTCAAATCTGGCCTCAGATACTTCCTAGCTGTGTGACCCTGGACAAGTCATTTAACCCTGTTTGCCTCAGTTTCCTCATCTGTAAAATGATCTGGAGAAGGAAATGGCCAACCACTCCAGTATCTTTGCCACCCAAATGGGGTCACGAAGAGTCCAACACAACTGAAAGGACTTAACAACAACAACAAGAACACTGCCTTTCCAGACTATAAGCTCCACAAGGGCAGGGACAAGGTTCACTGCTACTCTTAGAGCTTCCCCTTAGGATCTTACCTAGGGCTGGGGGGCAGAGTAGCCTGGTCTTTAGAGTTAGGAGCGACCTGCGTTTGAATCTCACCTCTGGCATTTCTTTGCTTTGTGACAATGGGCAAGTCCCTACTCCCTGTCTGAGCCTCAGTTTCCTTATTTGAAAAATGAGGATCGATGCAGCGCCTATCTTGACGGGTTGACATGAAGACTCAGTGAAATCAAGGTGCTTTATGAATGTCAGCTGTTATTTCAGTACACATAGTGGGAGAATTAAAGGAATACATCGATTTTAATTCAAGAAGCTAAAATGAGGTGAGGGCAAAAGACTAAACCCAGCTGTCCGGACACCCAGCCCAGTGTTCCGTCCAGGCTGCCCAGCACCTGCCAACCTCATTAAAAATGGCTGTGGAGTGGGGGAGGAGGAGCGGGGGAGGGATGTCTCTTCTCTCCCCACCTGACACTGGAGGGAAGGAAGGAAGGAATCTACTCTTTCCTCGTGTGCAGAGGAGAATCCCGTGCTTTCTTCCTTCTCCCTCCCAGGTAAGTGATAACTCTTAATCACCAAGGCCCAGGGACTTTTTTTTTGTCCTTCCACATCCAGCTGGACCACTCTTCAGTACCTGACAGTGACGGCTACTCCAGATTCCAGGATGAGAGTTCCTCCCTAAGTCCCCACGTGGCTGCCCTCTCTAGGCTGTCCGGCCGCCTGCCTGCCCGCCCGCTCCCCCTCTGCCTCCTTCTGTGGATCACCAGCCAGGTCCTGCTTCCTTAGCATACTTAGCCCCAGAGCTCTCTGCCATTCTCTCTTTCCTGGCGATCTCAGCAGCTCCCATGTGATTAGTGGTCATCTCTAAGCAGACGACTCTCAGATCTGGGTATCCAGCCCTGCCTCTCTCTTGAGCTTCAGCCCCAGATCACCACTTGCCTGTTAGACATTTCAAACCCGATATCCCCAGGGTCAATGTGGCATTTTTTTTTTACTATAAATATTTGTTACAAAAATCTTGTGTGTTGTTATTGTTGGTGGTGGTGGTGGTGGTGGTTTTTTAATACCCCAATGTTGGAGTTGGGGACAGAGAAGTCGAAGGGAGAGAAAATAGACTTTTATTCATTGAAAAACATAAAATTTAATTAAACAAGCAAACTAATGTCCCAAACTCCACACTTCCGAACCTGAACTACTTTGACCCTCAAATTCGCCCTTCTTCCACTTTCCCGTTTCTGTTGAAGACAGCATTATCCTTCCAGTCTCCCATGGACATAACCTCACAGTCACTCTTGATTCCCAGCTCACCCTCACCACTCACATCTGATCGGTTGAAATCTATTGCTTCCAGTCCCTTCTCTACCCTCACACAGCTGCCACCTGAGCTCAGCCTCTCCTCCATGGTGACGGGACCCCGAGTCCTCATTGATCTCACTATCTCCAGCCTCCTTCCACTCCATCACAACTGCCAAATCTGTCCTCCCAAGCCCAGGCCTGAGCATGTGACTTCCTTTCTCAAGAAGCTGCAGGGGCTTCCTATTTCCTGTAGGATAAAATACAGACTCCCCTGATTGGCTTTACCATCTGCCCCCAACTTATCTTTCCAGACTTAGTACACATTCCACTCCCTCAGGCACTCTCTGCTTCTCAGCAGCTCTCACTTCCTTTGAATGTTCAGCTCAGGTCAAAGCCTTTCCTGGTCCCCCCACTTGCTGATGCCTTCCATGCTGGGAATTACTTGGTATCTATCTTTCATTTATCCTCCTGTGTTTTACATTCTATCCAAGCAGGATGTAAATTCCTCCAAGGCCAGGAGGACTTCCTTTCTGTCTTTTCCCCATCAGCACCTCCCACAGTGCCTGGCATTTCATAAAGGCTGGTTAAGTCCTTCAATAAAACCTTGTTGAACAAATGAATGAATAAATGAACAAACGAATAAATGGATGGATGGGTGGATGGATGCGTGAAGCATGGACATCCACTCACCTGTGATGCAGAAATCCGAGACACCTCTTGGCGTCCTGTGAGGTCGGAGGAGGAGACGTTGGCCGGGGCTCCTCGGTGTAACCTCATACTCACCTTCCTCTCCCTGTCTACCCGTGAGATCGCTCTGGGAGAAGTATTGCCTAGAGAAGGAGAAAAGAAAGGATGCTCTTGACCACCGCCCAGAGGCGGAAGGAAGGATAGCAACGGACTTGAGGTCGGGGAGGCTTGGGTTCAAATCCTGTCTCGGACACTTACCGGTTGGGTGACCCTAGGCAAGAGTTTATTATGTCTTTGTCTTTCTTTGTATGTCTTACACTTAGAACAGTACCTTGTATATAGTGAGTGCTTAATAAATGCTTGTCAACGGACAAATCGTTTGTCCTCTCTGGGAGCTGAGGACTGCGAAGGTCCCTTCTGACTCTCCACTTTTGATCCTAGGATCCCGGCCCCGCCCCGCAGCCTCTCCCAGCCCCCAGCCTCACCAGCTTGCTGGATGCGGGAGGCTGGGTTGGAAGCCACGGGCTCGGCCACGTTGCGCAAGCGGTTGGCAGCGGCACCAGCAGGGGGTCCTGGGGGGAGCGCCCGCGTAGCAGATCCTCTCAACTGTCCCATCCTCTCCTCTCTCTCGTGCTCCCGCCGCTCTCGGTCCATATCCTCGGGGTTCCGGGCCGCACCCTGCGGGGGGAGGGGGAGGGGATGACAGAACAGGGATAGGGAGAGATTGGCATCGTCCCGAAGAAAGAGCAGCATCAGCCCCCAGACCAGAGTGGTGGGCAAGGGAGGATCACCAGCTTGAGTTCCGGAAGGCACCTTAGAGACCATCTTGTCCAATCCCTCATTGTATAGAGAAGGAAACGGAGACCCAGAAAAGGGGCAGTGACTTGCCAAGATCACGCAAGTTATAAGAGGCAGAACCAAGATTTGAACCCAGCTCTTCTCAGAGCAAAGCCAGAAGAGAGAAGGAGCATGAGGAGATGAAGGAGGAAGTCGAGAAAGTCCCAAGTAAAAGGCAGAAGGGGGCGGGGCGGGGTTCTGTCGTGCCCCACCCCATCCAATCTCTCTGTTTCCTAGGGGCTTCAGAATGGTATCCCTTTCCACAGTGGCTCTGGTCCAAGCCGTGACTCCTGTTACCTAGCCGTGGAAAGGGCGACCTCCAGCTGATGGCTTGAGCCAGGTGGGACCACCCAGAAGCCCCTAGGAAGCAGAGGGGATTGCTCTTGGGGAATCGAGAGGGAGGAGAAAGGCTGAAGTGGCCGTGAAGTCCCCTGGGCGCTGCTCTTCAGCAGCTGTCTCCCCAGTTTTTAAGACAAGGTTTAGGGGAGAAAAAGAGCGAAAGGCCAGAGAGCTGAGCGCAGAGCCAGTGACTGCAAGTTACCTAATTGGTCCCGGGGCGCAGCGCAGGGAAGGGCAGGGGGCTGACTGGAAGGGGGCCGCATCTGTAGAGGAGAGAGCTCAAGGCTGAGTTGGGGGGGATACACATATACACACCTTCAATCCCAGAGTCACAGTGGGGGCATGAGGGGAGGGGATGAGTAGAACCTGTTGGTCAGCTCCCAGGGAAGAGGCAAGGGACGCTGCCCCCTCCCTGGACACAGGGGTAGGGACTACACCTGTACTTTCACTGGTATAGGGAACTCTCAAACGAGGAACGTCCCTCCACCAATGCAGGTTGGCACCTTCTCTGCAAGTCAGTCTTAAAAAGTTGTGTGTGGACAATGAGAAATGACCAGGGGTGGAACTCGAACCCACGTCTTCCCGGCTTCCAGACCAGCTCCCTTATCCACTAGACTATGCTGTCTCTAGTGTGTGGGGTTAACAATTTACAAGTACATAAGACGTTCTACCCAAATGCTACATAAGCAGCAATGAGGAAAAAACCACACCCTTCCTTTATTAATTCATGACGACACCCCCAAAACTCCACTTCAGAGCGACCAAAAAAGCAGCTTCCCCTTTATCTGGTGGACATTTCCATCTAGACCAGAGATCCAAGTGGGATCTTTCTGAGGCAGGCAAAACTCTCCAAGGCCCTAGGATACCAGGCCTCCCCAGGTGGTGGGAGGAGCACCCCAGGGTGCTCCTGGGTTCAAGGGAAATCCCGGAGGCCCAGACTCTCAGAAGCCCAGAACTCCACAGGAAAGGCCTGCTGGTCTCGGTGATCACTGATTGGAGATGCCCCATCTGCTTTGCGTCCTGTCCCTTCTCTCCTCCCCCCCCCCAGCCCCACACTTTGGCGTTGCCAGGCAGAGGTGTGTGAGTTGATTGGGGGGGGCATGCCTATTACTGCCAGCCCCGCCCCTCTCCGTGCTGGGAACCCCAGCAAACCTCAGTAAAAGGATGCGTGTTAGAGATCCATCAGGTGTGGAGCTACAGACTGGCCTTCCTGCTCCTCCCACACAACGCTCCACCTTCATCTCTAGGTCTTGCACTAATCATCCCCCATGCCTGGAAGGTTCTCCCTCTGCCTTGTAGAATCCTTTCCTTCCTTCAGAACTGAGCTCAAGTACCATCAACTCCTTAGATTTTTCCTCAGCCCCTCCTACTTGCTAGTAATCTCTCTCCTCTCTCTCTGTCTCTCTCTCCTCTCTCTCTCCTCTTTCTCTCTGTCTCCCCCCCCCATTAATTCTCTATATATTTATGTATGTAAATTCTGTCTCCTCTGAGAAAATGCAAGCTTTTTGAAGGCAGGAACTGTTTCTGCTTTGTATTCCCAGTGCTTAGAATAGAATCTAGCACACAGTAGGTGTTTAATAAGTGCTTATTGGTTGCTACAAGCAGTTCTTGATTTACTGGGGGAGGGAAAGAGGGAGCTCCAAGGATCCCTGCTGAGGGGAAGGCCAGGATGCTACCTGAATTCCTCCCTGCTCTCCCTCACTGATGGGACCACTAGAGATGAGGAATTCCATGGAACATGGTGTCCCATGTTCTGTCATTCCCCAAACTCCCTTTCTTCTCCCTGCCTTTTTCCTAACAAAAATACCTTTTCACATCTGCTCTGCCAGGCTTCCAAAGGGAAGCAGAGAAAGCCCTTGGTCCCATGAGCAGCGACTCAGACCCCCCTCTCAGGGGGTGTTACTGATTCAGCAGCAGCTACTGACGGAGCGTGGAAATAGAAGTTACCAGAAATAAGTGTGGGGAGCCCAGGACAAATGGAGAAGCAATTTTTAAAAATTCTACCCTAAAGGAGAAAGATTCAGATAATACTCACCTTCCTGCCCCACTCAGCCCTCACCCTTCTCAAAAATCCCATCCAAAGTCAACAAGGCTTAACGGTGGAGGTGTCCCAGACAAGGGCGGAGCAAGGCTAGAGCTAGAAGGGGCCTAAAGACCCTGTAATATAACCCCTAAATTTGGCAGAGTGGGGTAAATGGACCCCGGAGAGGAGAAAAGCCTTGCTCAAGGTGACCCAGGTAAGAAATGATTTAACCACGACTCAAACCCAGGTATTTGGACTCCAAATACAGCTTTTTCTGATAGCCACACAACTAATGAGGAGGAAGAGCCGGAGGCTGGAAAAGTGCCGCAAATTGCCTCAGAGAAGCTTAGGCTTTCCCAGTAAAAAGGGACCTCCCAAGTGAGCCGGACCCCTCCCTCCAAGGGTCAAGCATCACTCTTCCTCACCCCTCCTCAGGGAGAGCCTGCTCTTTGCCCTGGAGGATCTCAGAGTACACACAGTTTGCAGAGCATCGGGTCTTTAAGTCGGAGGTTCCTGGGCTTCAGCGGCTGGCATCTAGCCACTTCTGAATTTTAGTCGCCGGGTCTATTCTCCAGACCAGATTTAGGGTTGAATTAACCCTGGCCTCTTTTTCCAGGCTCAGGGAAAGAAGGAAGAAGAAAGGAAAGTGAAGAAATAGAAACTTGAATTTTAAGAGACAATACCAGAGTGAAAGACCCTTCAGGCTCCAAGTGAGGGTGTGATCACATCCATCTCTAAACTTCTGCACTTTTCAAAATGGTGGGCCAAGACAATGACACAGTAACAAGAAAATAACAGAACAACTACTACTGCTACCACTACCGCCACTACTACTACTACTGTTGCTGCTGCTGCTACTACTATTACTAATAGCATTTAGATAGTACTTTAAGGTTTGCAAAGCGCTTTACAAATGTTATCTCATCTGCTCCTCACAACAGCCCTGTGAGGTAGGCGCCATTATTATTCCCATTTTACAGATGAGGAAACTGAGGCAAAAGGTTAAGTGACTTGCCCAGGGTCGCCCAGCTAGTAAGCATCTAAGACAGGATATGAATACTGGTCTTCCTGACTCCAGGCCCAGCACTCTGTGTCCCATGGGGCCAGCTGCTTACAAGATCTTGACCTCTTTCTCTCTGGCATACCAAGATGAAGTGGGGTGAAGACGCAACCAGAGTTTAGTAGAACCAGGAAGGTGAGTGTCCTGCTGAACTCTGCCTGGATCAGACCTAGGAAGCCCTAGGCCCATTTTAGGAAGGACGTTAAGAGACTGGACCACGTCCAGGGAAGGGTGAAAAGAATAGTGGGAAGAATGGAGATCACACCATCCACAGATGTCTCCACCCTCCATCATCACCCAGGTATGAATAGAGATGGGTTCTGAGGAATCTGGGCTGTGCAGCCTGGAGAAGTGAGACTTTGGTAGGGGAGATCTCAGTGTCTCTAGGGACGTCACTCAAAAAAGGGATTAACCTTGTTCCGTTTTGCCCCACAACGCAGAACAAGAATGGTTAGAGGCTCCACCCACTTGTCCTTCAGTGAAAAAGATGCTAATACTCAGGACTGCCCCGAAGTAGAGTGACTTCTTTGATAGGTACTGAGCTCTCCATTACTGGAGGTCTTCAGACAAAGGCTGGATAACCACTCCTCAGGGATGTTGCAGAGGGGTTCTCTGTTGGTCCCTGGGATGACTTACTTCAACTTGTTTTCTGAAGATGTTCTCCTTTCCCACACAGAGAATCTTCCAAATCACTACGGCCAACAGTGGTGGGGGATCCATTCACGGCAGCCAAATCCAAGATAAAGTGGACACTTGTAGAAGGCCCAGCCACAGGGCCACGGCAAGAAAGTGGCCATGGAAGAGTGGGTGTAGATGGTCCCACCAACCTTCCCAAGAGATGCCACCAAACTGAAGGTCTGAGGTCGAGGGGGAGTCATTGCCTCATCTGGTCTGATATCCCAGTGACAGATGAGAAAGGGAGAGTCCCAGCATGAGCACCTTCTCCAAGGAAGCTTAGCAGGGATCCCCCTTTCCCTTCTTCTTTGAATGGATAGCCTCAAGAAGTGGTGGATGGGCTCTCCCTCCTTGGAGTCTTCACTCTATCAAGCATGTTAGAGTTGGGGTTCCTTTCTGATCTGCACTGGCCACTCTGACGTTCTGTGACTCCTAAGGGTTCTGTCCCAGAAGTCGTGGCTCTTGCCAGGTCAAGCAGAGAGTCACAGCGGTTTGAACCCTTCTGGAATGGCTAGTGATGGTGTGGTGTGACGTCCAGGCTGGAATTTCTCATGGTCCCTGAAAGGTGTTGATGTCTTGGGAATTTGTGATTGATTTGTAGATAGCAAGGAAGAAAAGATGGCACACATGTACGTACGCGCGCGTGCACACACACACACACACACACTCACACGACCTCCTAGGAGAAGACCTTTGCATGCCTTCTATACCCATGACCCCTCGGTTGAATGGATGAGAAGCCTATACCCTCTTCTGAATCTCCAGCTTCTGGCTCTGGAAGAATCAAAGAGATGTAGCTACTGAGAAGGCCTGCAAAGTTTGAGGGGGAAGTGGCAAACAGCAGTTTGGAGACCCCATGGCAATATCCCCCCATTTCTGGCTCACTGCGTGGTGTGCCTTTCCTACCATGAAGTACTTCAGTTGTCCCTCATTTGGGACAAAAAAAGCTGACTGGCGAGAGGAATGCCAGGCTGCTGCCCAGGCCATGAGGGCGAGGCAAAAAGGAGTCAGAATGAGACCACTGATAGTGGTAAGGATCGTCTATCACTGCCGTCTGCATACAGCAGGTGCTAACTAAATGTCTAAGCAGAAAAGAGGAGCTGGAGAAGTGGGCGTCCCCGGAGGGGATGGGTCAGGATGCAATCAGCCAGGAGGGGACAGGAGACCTGTCCTGCAGGGAGAGCAGTCCCGTAACACTTGGCAATGACAACATTAAAAGACAGTCACGGCCAGATGAGTAAGGAAGAGGCCTTTTTAATGAGCTCAGGTTCGGTACAGAGATCACTGGCAGGCCATCAATATGGCAGTCAGGTCCCATCTGGCGTCCCCCTTCGGTCATCTCCACCTTCAGCCCAACTCTCTGGGCAGGTCGGAGTACTGGCTCGGGATGCCCTCCTAGGGACTATCTAAGACAACTCGTCCCCATCACCTCTGCTCTGTCACTGTCTTGGGGCGGGGCGGGCCCCCGGGGCTGGAGGGCCCCATTCCTGGCTTGCTCTCTTGGTCACATTTTGGCCCCAGCCTGGGCGTTATCCACACGTCCTGGTTTAGTAGACATTCTCAGCTTTGCACTCACGGTGCCTCCGTGAGGTCAGAACTGGGGCCCTGGGGTCCAGACCACCGGCCAGTGGCTAAGGTGGCCCGTCTCCTCCATCTCCTCAACCTCCTCCACCTGCTGGTCTGCATGGCACGGGGTGCCCAGGGGCGTTGGGCACCTGGAAGGGGACACAGAGCACAAAGTGGGGGAGCTCAGCTGCCTGGTACCTGGGACAAGACCACTGAGAAATAATCAATAGAAGCCAAGGGCAGGCCGAGCCAACAGGTCCTTACCAGTACATAGGTTGGCCCGAGTGGCCTGGGTGTGGGCTGACTTCTTTCTCGAAAGAATGAGACTGTCCTGAGGTAGCTCCCTTTCCCGGAAGAGATTCAGAAGAAACAAGACATGGGGATTTTGGAAGTCCTAAAGCAGTCCCCACCCTAGTCAAGAACCCCTAGAAGCCCCTTCCAGCGAAGGCAAGATGGCAGCCATGCCAGAATATATATCCCGAGGGATGGCGCTTGGCCTTCCCCCCCAACCGTGGGGGGGAAGGAAAGGAGAGATGCTCTTGGCATCCTAGCTGTCAGCGAGGGAGGCTGGGGGGAAGAGGGCCACACGCAATGCAGCGTGGACAGCAGCCACGGGGAATAGGAAGGAGAGCAGCAGGGCCGCGGCGAGGAAGGTGGTGAGGCAGCTCCCAAGGTACCCCCAACCCCCCCAGCGAGAGGCATGAGAGGGGTCAAGGGAGAGAAGCCAGCTCTTCGGTCCCTGGACTGCAGGATGAGCAGGAGACGGGACGTCAGCTCCGTCTCTAGCCTGGCCCTGCTGACAGAGACAGCAGTTACCCCAGTGGGGGCCACCTACCCTCTGGGCCCCCACTGATGCTGCCTCTCGCTGGGACAAGGGGGAGTGGAGAAGGGATGGGCGCGCCCAGCCAAGCCGTACCCAGAAGCATGCTGCTGCTTCTGCTGTTGTTACCTACCGCCACAGACCTCAAGACCACCAGACCACCTCCCATATCTCTCCACTAGCTCCTATGGCCGAGAGCCGCCACTCAGGAAGAGGGAAAGGGTGGGGGGTGACTCACGAATTTGAGCATGTTCCAGTCAAAGACATAGTCATAGGAGAAGCCCTGACGGTGGAAGAGGTTCCGGAAGAGCTGTCTCAGGTATGAGTAATCAGGCTTGTCATCGAACCGGAGAGAGCGGCAAAAGTTGAGGTACGTGGAGAATTCAGCTGGGAGACAGGGAAGGGAGACAAGAGAAGAAACAGTGAGATATCTTCTCCCAGCCAACAAAGTATTCCTGTTCTGGGGCAGAGAGAGGCTTCTGAGGCAGTGAGTTACATAACTGCCCAAACCATCTTTCCTAAAAATATTTTAATCTCTAAATCAGGGCAGGGGAGGGGTCAGGATTAAGGGCAGGGGGGAAGCTGTCCCCTGTGTACTACCCCTTTCGTTCATTCTGTATGTATCTTGTTTGTATTTAATTTTGTATGTTATCTCTGTTCCCATTAGATTGCAAGCTCCTTGGGGGCAGGGACTGTCTTTTTCGCCTGAGCACAGCACCTGGCACACAGTCTTGTTCAGTCATTTCTAGTCATGTCTGACTCTTCATGACCCCACCTGGGATTTTCTTGGCAAAGATATTGGAGTGGTTTGCCTTCTCCTTCTCTAGATCATTTTACAGATGAGGAAAATGAGGCAAACAAGGTTAAGTGACTTGCCCAGGGTCATGCAGCCAAGGAAACATCTGAAGCTGGATTTAAACTCAGGCCCTCATAGTAGGCACTTAATAAATGCTTGTTGACTACTGACTGACCGATGAACCCTGACCTGGCTATCAGCTCCCTTCAGATTTAGCCTAGATAAGAGACAGTCTTGTCAGAGCTGTGAACACTGGTCACTGTCACAGATATATCTAAAGTCACCCAGTTTGGCCTTAATGTATTTCTATTTTCTTTTCTTTTTGTTTGCCATTTTAAGTACTACTTATTTTAAATACTAAAATTAATATTTTAATATTATTTTTCAGTTCCAAATTGTCTCGCTCCCTCCAGCTCCTCCCCAACTCATTGAGAAGGCAACTTAATGTCTTTTTAAGGCCAAACGTGTGATTTCACTGGCAAAAAGAACTGCTGGGGAGGGAACCGCCTGATGCCTCTGAAGATAGCCCCTTGCTCTGCTAATTCTAGTGTTAAGAAGGTGCCTCTGTTAATGGGCTCTGAGGAGCTTAGATTCAGGACTGAAAGAGGCATTACATGGCCTCCTTCACTCTAATGCTTACATACACTGTTATATGTACTTGCTATGTCCCCCATTTGAAAGACAAAACCTCCTTCTCACCTCCCGAGAGAGGCGATAGACTCATGCTGCAGAATAAGACCGACATTTTTGGACATCACCAATGTAAAGTTCTTGTTTTTTTGTTTTTTTGTTTTTGTTTGACTAGATAGATCTGTTACAAGAGATTTGACTTTGTTTTTCATTTTCCAAGGGGGGAAGGGCGGGAGGGAGAGAAAATAGAGTTTTTTTGTTAATTAAATTTTTTTTTAAATTATGTAAGATCCTTGTGAGTAGGAATTGCCTCATTCTTTGTACTTGTATATCCAGCTCCTAGTTTAGCTCCTGATACAGAGTGGAAGCTTAATAAATCTTGATTGATTCTCCTTCACGAAGGATTTCTGAAGTCGTCAGGGCTGTCACATTTGAGCTTAGGAGCCTCTTCTGTGTCCCTGAAAGAGCTAGGGACTGCTGGCCCCTTCTTACTCACCTTGCCCACTACCCAACCATGCCAGCCACAGACTTTCCACTGTCCTCAAGCTGGTGGCCTTGGGTCACGCAGGGAGCACGAAAGTTGTCAGCACCTCGGACAGCACTATAGACGTAGTTTACCTCTATACCTGTGTTCTCTCTCTCTTTAGAATGGAAGCTGAATGCAGGGGGTGATCCACTTTCATCTTGTATCCCCAGCCCCCAGCACAGTCCGTGGCATGTAGTAGTGATTTCATTAATGCTTGTTGGTTCATTGACTGTTTGATTCCAGGCGCTAGGGCTACTTACAGGGGTATCCTTTGCAAAGGACCTCGATGGGTGTGGACATCTTCTTCTCACTAATACGTTCATACTTCTGCCTCTTGGTAGCTGCTTTGAGACCCTGCCAGGGCAGGGAGCCCAGGTTGAAATACATAAGCACGTAACCCAAACTCTCCAGGTCATCACGGCGGCTTTGCTCTGCAGGGCGACAGAGGGAAGAAGACAGTCAGAGACCAGCTCACATAGCCAGGGAGCAAAGACGGGAAACATCAGAGGCCCCAGGAAGCAGAAGCCAATGGAGCCGCCATTTTAAATCTGTCATCGCAAAGAGGCAGCATGGCTAGACTTGGGTTTGAATCTCATTTCAGATACTTCTTAGTAGCTGAGCAGAGTATCCAGGGGCAAGGTCCCAGCTTAATCTGGACACTCCCCATTCCTCTTTTTCATGCCTCCTGGAATCCTGCAATCTCAGGAGGAGGCACCTTAGAGGTCATTTAGTCCAACCTCTCAGTACATGCAGGAACCCCCTCTGCAGCCTCTCTGACTGGGTAGGGGTAGGGGAGAGTGGCACAGGTCAGCCTGCCTCTAATTCCCAGCTGGGGGCACTGTATTATGCCCACCACCAACATCAGCACTAAGCTGTGTTTGCTGAATGAATAAAGGAAGACCCAAACCCCACTTATGAAGCCCTGTATAGGTTTCAACACAGTCTGGGGCAGGGGTGATGTCATTCATTCCCGTGCCCATTACCCCACTTCAAGCCCTCATTTCCTCTTGCTTGGACTACTGTAAGAGCTAAGTGATTGCCTAATTCTCTCTCTCTCTCTCTGTCTCTCTCTCTCTCTCTCTTCCCTCTCCCTCCCTCCTTCCCTCCTTCTCTCTTCTAGTGCAATCCTTCTGATGTACAGGCCCTTCCTCACACACCCTCGCTCCAAAATTCTCTACAGTCCCCATTGCTTAATCTCACTGCCTAGGACAAAACCTAGACTTCTCAACCCGGCATTCAAGGCTCCTTCCCTAGAGTGGTCCTAATCTACCCTTCCAGTCTTAACCCATACCATCCATATCTATATTTATCTATATCTATCTATCTATGCATATATATATAGATCCATACTATATATACATACACACAAACACACACACACATATACACACACATGTTCTGTGATCCAGTTAAATTGGGCCACTCTACATTCCCTCAACAAGCCCTGCCCTTTCTAGCCTCCACATCTCTGTTCATGTCATTCTTACACTTGCCCCTACCCCTGATTTAAGTATATCAAAATTCTATATCTATCCTTCAAGGCTAAACTCAGGGGCCAGCTCCTCCAGGAAGGAGAACCCTCCTTCCCTGATCCTCATCTCCATAGCTACAAGTGATTTCTCCCTCCTTTGAATTTCCTCTCCTATGGCGAGCATCCTGTTCTGACTCATGTTGCAATTATCTGTGTACGTATTCTATACCCCACCCAGGCTGTAAGTTCTGTGAAGGGCAGGGATGCCTTTGTGCTTCCCTCAGAACCAAGTATAGGGCTATGCATGTAGTAGGCACTTAATGAATGTGTGAGAATTTGTTCAGCTTGACTCTGCATATTTATTATGAAGGTTTTGTTTTTGTTTTTTCTCTTTTTTCCCAGTTGGGGGAAAGTGAAAGGGAGAGAAAATAAAATTTTGTTAAATAAAAAAAAAAGAAATAAAAAAATTAGGATAGAGGAATGAATGATTAGCTTAGCCCAGACCTCATCTGCGTAGGCTTCGGAACAGCAAATATCAGGCCAGTAAGACCCAATGGATCTTGGGTTGGCGTCACTATTTATGGTCCAGGTTAGGAAATATGGAGGGAGGTGGACAGGTTTATTAACTAATTATTATTGACTTATTGTTAAGTTAGAATCCTAATGTGTCTAAGCTTGAAGGGGCCTTACAACAAAAAAAGAGAGAGAAATCCAGAAAGACCGATGTGGTTGCACAGGGTACTCTCTGAATTCAGATTTTACTAGACTACATGCTCTATGAACTTAGGGACTGTCTTATCTAAGCCTTCTGTTTCCCGTAGAATTTAGTGCAGTGTTCTGTCCCAAGTAGGCACACATATGTCTGTTAAATTAATCTGGTCCAATCCCCGCTTTTTACATCATCATCACCATGATCATGACTTTTATACAGCACATTAAAATTTGGCAAGGCTTTACATACATGATCTTGCTTTAGCTTCATAGTAACCCTGTGAGATAGGTTGTTATCCCCTTTTCACAGATGAACAGACTGAGAAGTAAAAGGATTTGCCCCAAAGTCCCACAGCTGAGTTAGCCCCAGGGCTGGATCTAGGGTCCAGCTCCCCCAACACCTCCTCAAGCCTTCCTTCCATCCCTTTTGGCTGCTTCCTCTGGTTGGGAGATGGATGGCCCACCAGAGATAGAATGTAAACACACCCATAAACCCGAAGTGCATCGCGTATTATTACAGGATCACAGTGGGGAAGGAGATCAGGTGGTCTGGGCTTCCCTCTTCTATGTCCTGAAAGAGCTAGGGGCTGCTGGCCCCTTCTTAGTCCCCTTGCCCATTACCCAACCATGCCAGCCACAGACCTTCCACTGTCCTCAACCTGGTGGCCTTGTAATGACCTAATGCAAACTCCTAGTGCTTAGCATAGAGCCTGGCACACAGTAAGCACTGAATGAACTTCAATCACTTCATGTGGGTTATTTTTGTCTTTGTATCCCCAATTCCTAATATAATGCACACAGTAAGTGCTTAATAAATGCTTGTGGCTGGACTGATTTAAGCAAGGGTCTGAAGGACCACTTGTCAAAAGGTGATGCCAATTCAGAAGATGGCTGGGTTGGGAGAGATGGGGTCTGGGTCAGAATCCCAGCTCAGCTACTTACTACCTGCATGACCTTGGGTAAGTCATTCTCCTGCTTGGGCCTCAGTTTCCTCATCTGTAAAATAGGAGCATGGACAGCCTAAATGTCCTCTAGCGGCCCTTCCAGCTCTAGTTATCTATGAACCTGAGATTCTGTATATCCATGATTTATCATTTGACATGCCCACAAGTCCCAAGTGGCACCTCAAACTCATCTTTTTCAAATATAAATCTATTGCCATATAGGTTGGAAAAGTTAGCAGATTATTGAAGCTCTTAAATGCCAGTCAAAGCAGTCTGAACTTTACTTAAAAGGTAGCAGAGAGCCATAGAAGACTTTTGAGCAGAGGAGTGACCCAACTATTTCTTCGCATAAGGTAAGTCCATATAGCGGTGAGAGAAAGAATGGGTTGGAGAAGAGAGAATAGGGGAGGTGCAAAGTCCCATTGGAAGGACGCCATTGTAACAGTCTGGACAGATGGTCCTGAGGGTTTCTGTGACACAGCAGCCCTCCCTGCTCAGCCCAGGCCATAGTGAGGTCTCCCCTCCCCAGAGTTCCTCCATTCATCAACAGTCTGGACCACAGCTCTTTGGGTGCCCAATTATGCTGCCTTGTACTATTCTTTAACGGTACATTAATAGTAGCATCACGTAAGAGTGTGTTTACACATGAGTGTAATTGTTCTGCAGGATTCTTGAGGACAGAGCAAATAGTAGGTGCTCAGTCACCTTCACTGGCCTCCATCCATCTTGCCAGCTCAACCTCCCACGACCCCAACATTCCCTTGCTCAAAGACCCCCAATGACTCCTTGTGAACTACAGAATCAAGTCCAAACTCTTCACCTCATGAAACTTTTCTCGCTGACCTGGTATTCAAGGCCCTCCAGAAATGGGGCTCCAAACTGATTTTCCAACATTCGCCACGCCTGGAATCAGGAAGACTCATTTTCATGAGTTCAAATGTGGCCCTTAGACACTCACTAGTTGACACTTAACCCTGTTTGCCTCAACTTCCTCATCTGTAAAATGGGCTGGATAAAGAAATAGCAAACCATGCCAGTATCTTTCCCAAGAAAAGCCCAAATGGGGCCACAAAGAGTCAGACACACCTGAAATGACTGGACAGCAACAGTCTGCAATGTAATACAGACTTCCACTCACATGGAATAACTTACTATCCCCTGAAAATGTCCAAACTTTTCCAGCCGCCATATCTTTGCTCGTGCTGTTCTCTATGCATGGAAAATCTCCCCTACCCTCCCGTATCATTACCATCCCACCTATTGTTCTGGGTCAAGCTCAAATACCACCAGCTTACAAAGCCTTCCTCGATTTCTGGCAGCTAAAAATGAGCTCTTCTTTACCTGAACTTAGCACGCTTCCTTGCCCCACAGTATGTCTTTAGCAGGTGGTGATTCACACTGTGGGCATCTGGGTCTTTCCTCCCTACTCTGATATTGCAAATCCCTTAAGGTCAGGGCTGGAGGCTAACATTCCAACACAGAGGAGTTATTGCTTTGTTTTAAAACAAATGCTTGTTTAATAGAAATGACAGGCATTTGCAGAACAACAGCTAACATTCTGGCTGTGCTTCAAGGATTGCAAAGCACCCTATGGGCTCCCTTGAGCCCCGAACAGTTTGGATCCTGTCCATTATCCCACTTTTACAGATGAGGAAACTGGAGCTAAGAGAGGTGATTTGGCTCTGGCCACATGCTACGAAGTGTTTGAAGCTGAATTTGAATCTGGGTCTTTCTAACTACACGTCCTATTCTCTGTCCACCATGACAGCTAGGTGAATGAATGAAGAGTCAATATACACTCAAGAAGTTATATTAGTTGGGGAAGAAAAATAAAAAGATTAATGGGGCTTGGGAGAAAGATTTGGATTACGATCTATAATTTCTATAATTTAAATCTATAATTTAGGACCCTAAATCCAGGATATAGACTAGATCCCTAGGTTTAGGGAAGGGAAAACCCATTTATATAGCCCCTATTATGTGCCAGGCACTGTGCTAAGTGCTCTGCAAATATCTCATTTCATCCTTACAAAAACCCCTTGAGGGAGATTCTGTTTTAATCCCCATTTTATAGTTGAGAAAACTGAGGCCAATAGAGGTTAAGTGACTTGCCATAGATCATAATAGATGTCTGAGGCCAAATTTGAACTCAGGTCTTCTTGACTCCAGACCTGGAGCTCTAACCATTGCATCACCAGCTGCCTCAGAGGAGACTGAGACACAGAGAGGCAATGTGGCTTGTCCAAAGTCACACAGGCAGCACAAGGCAGAGCCAAGCCCTCTGTCTTCCATTCCAGTGCTCCCTCCTCTCCACTCTGCAGCTCTTGTGATGTAGAAAGAGCACAAGCCCCATCATTAAAAGACCCTGCTTATCTCCCAGCTGTATGACCCTGGGCAGCTCCCTTCTCATCTTTCTTGTGTTGAGCACAGGCATAAGTGGTGGGGGGGCAGATGCCTCAGCTATAAAACAAGGCAGTGGGTTTGATGACCTTTGAAGCCCCTCCCCTCTCTGAATCTGACTCCAATGACCTTGGGCAGATCACTGGACCTGTCTGAGCCTCAGTTTCTTCCTCTGTGAAGTGACCAGATGATCTCTGAGGACCCTTCTAGACTTAGAGCCAGAATCCTATGATCTGTGATACTGGGCAAGTGACCCTAGTCACAAAGAGATCGGACTCTGAGGTCCTTGCCTAGGCTCCCATGAAGAGACATCTCTTGGCACAGGAAGAGAGGAGCCCTGAGCTGTGTCAGAGGAGGAAAAGCCTACGCCAACAAAGGTACAGATGCCTGTGGACTTGCATGAAGTATTATTTAATGACAATAATGGAGGAGAGGAGAATCTGAATCCATTCCAACGGTTTCCTCCAGCTCCATTAGCAAGGTAGGTTCATAACTTGACTTTTCCCACAATAGAAAGGTGGATACCAACCTATGGGTACCAAGAATTCTTCCCCTCCTGCTCTGGTTCAAGCCTGATCCCCAGAACTCTCCCTCCTCTGCTTTTCTCCTCACCCCCAACACTCACAGTCTAGCTCAAGTCCACACTGGTTTCTACTCTGAGGGGTTCAAGTGCTCATCTCATCCCCCTCCTTACTTCTCGGCCCTGCCAATGACTTCCTGTGACTTTAGACAGGTCATTTCCGCTCTCTGGGCCTCAGTTTTCTCATCGGTCAAACTGAGCTAGTTAACTCCTAGGACTAGAAAGAAGGTGCTCTGGGGCAGGGAAGGACCTGCCCTGTGCTTTTGCTTAAATCCCTTCTGTAGGCCTAGCCGAGGATCCTGTACTCATGGGGGTCATCGTCCTAGACCTTAGAGATCAGCCAGTTGGAGCCTAGGATTCAAGAGTTGGAAAGGGCTTTGTGCACCGTCTAATCCCTATAACATGAAAAAGATCCTCATTGTAACATACCTGTCATGTAACACCCTCATTTTACAGACAAGGAAACTGAGGCCCAGTAGCATTCAAATATGTGACTGGAATGTGAAGAATACAATACATTTTGATAAATAGAAGCTATTTTAAATGTTCCCAAGAAATTTCTTATTTCAAGCAACCTTGCAATGAGTCTTAAGGCAAAAGGAAGAATCCCTTCCTGATGACTTCGTCCTCTCCATTTTTAGTTCGAGTTTGCTCAAAGAGACATCTAGTTATAGAGACCCTGCAAATAGTGGGAGAGAGGCGGCAGACTGTACTGGAGTGTGCTGGACTTGGAATCAGGAGGGACCCAGGTTCAAAGCCAGCCTCCGACATTCACTAGTTGTGTGATCATGGGTCGGTCATTTAACCTCTGAGTTTCTTCATCTATAAATTGGGGAAATGATACTTGTGCTTAAGGCTCAAATAAAACAACATTTAAAGCATTTTGCCAATTTCAAAACACAATATTTCTTTCATTTTCATCTTTTCCAATAGATTTCAGATGGAAGCAGGCTTGGAACAAGTGAATCCTACTGCTATTCTCTCTCTCTCTTTTTTTTTTTTTGGTTAGGCAATGGGGTTAAATGACTTGTCCAGGGTCACACAGCTAGTAAGTGTTTTGTGTCTGAGGCTGGATTTGAATGCAGGTCCTCCTGACTCCAGGGCCAGTGCTCTATCCACTGTACCACCTAGCTGCCCCTGCTACTCTTTTAAATTTAATGTTCTGTGGACTGTTGCAAAGGTAGATAAAATGACTCTTTTTTATGACTGACTAAGAATACTGGGACATAAGCTGCTTCACTCTAGGGTCGTTTAAAGCAGCCTCAGGACAACTCCAGTAGCAGATAGGATGATAAGGACGACATATATCTCATACTAACTACCACTGCTGTTGTTAGTGCTATAAATGGTACCACTATGATGGGGGCTCAAGTCCACAGCTCCAGCTTAGAGTCCACGTGGACCCAAGAGGACCACCCAGTTCAGGTCACTCACCGATGCCCAAATGGGTGTTGATGGAAGCGTAGCGGGCAGTGCCAGTCAGATTTTTGTTTTCCCGGTAGGGGATGTGCTGGTGGGTGCGAGCGTCCCGGTATTTCTTGGCCAGGCCAAAATCGATGATGTACACCAGGTTTCCCTTCTTGCCCAGGCCCATGAGGAAGTTGTCAGGTTTCACATCCCGGTGGATGAAGTTCTTGGAGTGGATGTACTCAATGCGGCTGATCTGGGGAGGGAAGGAGAGAAGGGTGGTAACTGTGAGTGCTCAATTCCAAGGAGTTGGGGGAGGGCAAGAAAATGGCACCAATTGATATAAGACCAGGTCAGGGAAAGATCTGCCCCCACCATCGCTCTCCCCTCCTCTCATAGCGATTGTCATGGAATGCCTCCAGTAACTCTACTCTGTCCTCTGAAAGGCCATATACTGTCCTGCCTCTGGGTCCTAGCTCAGGCTGACTCTATACCTGGAATGTCCTCTTTTCCTTTCTTTGTCAGCTGAACTCCTACTCAGTCAACTCATCCAACTCAGATGCTAATTCCTCCAGGAAGCTCTCTACATTCGCTTTTGCTGCTAACAATCTTCTCAGACCTCACAAAGTTTTTTTTAAAAAAATGAAATAGACCCTGCCCTCAAGGAGCTTACACTCTGTTGGAGGAGGAGACAACAGTACACACACATTAGGAAATACTACATACACTTTGTCTAGCACTGTGTGCACCATGGCACTCCCTATCTGCCTCTTTAAGCTCTGCAAAGTGATTTACATGGGAGGACTGGGGTGTTGTTCAGTTATTTCAGTCATGTCTGACTCTTTGGGACCCCACTTGGGGTTTTCTTGGCAGAAATACTAGACTGGTTTTCCCATTTCCTTCTCCAGCTCATTTTACAGATGAGGAAACTGAAGTAAACAGGGTGAAGTGACTTGCCCAGGGTCACACTGCCAATAAGTGTCTGAGGATGGATTTGAACTCAGGTCCCCCTGATTCTCGGTGGTATCTCCATTTCAAAAATAAGGAAACCTTTGGGCTGTATTCCAAAGAGATCATACAAATGGGAAATGTACAAAAACATTTATAGCAGCTCTTTTTGTGGTGGCAAAGAATTGGAAATTGAAGGGATGCCCATCCATTGGGGAATGGCTGAACAAGTTGTGGTACATGAATGTAATGGAATACTATGGTGCTATAAGAAATGATGAACAGGCTGACTTCAGAAAAACCTGGAAAGATTTTATGGACTGATGCTGAGTGAAGTGAGCAGAACCAGGAGAACGTTGTACACAGTAATAGCCACATTGTCCGATGACTAACGTTAATAGACTTAGCTCTTTTCAGCAGTGCAAAGATCTAAGACATCTCCAAAGGTCTCATGATGGAAAATGCTATCCACATCCAGAGAAAGAACCATGGAGTTTGAATCCAGATCAAAGCATACTGTTTGCTACTTTTTTTCTTCTGTTTTGTTTTGTTTCTTCTTGTTGGTTTCTCCTATTGGTTCTAATTCTTACTTACGACATCACTAATGTGAAAATATGTTTAATAGGAATATATATGTAGAGCCTATATCAGATTGCACCTCGTGTAGGGAGGGAGGTGGGGAGGAAGGGGGAGAAAAGTTTAAAGCTCAAAAGCTTATGGAAGTGATTATTGATAAATAAAAATAAATTAATAAAAAATATAATTGGGAAATGTTTAGCAAAATAAATAAAAATATAACATTTAAAAAAAAAAAGAAAATGGAAACCAAGGCCCAGAGAGCGGAAGTCATCTGCCCAAGATGGCACTCTTTGGAAAGTAGAAGATCAGAGATTCCTTCCTAGGTCCTCTGGCTTGTTCTGTGTTATCTCCCTCTCTGTAAGATAAAGAGCCCTAGACTAGGGGTCAGAAAACAGTGGTTCTGGGCTCTGGGCTCTGCCAATTGTTGGCTGGATGCCCTTAGTCACTTCCCTCTCTGGAGGCATCAGGCTACCCACATGCATGCCCCTTGCACCCCCTACTTTTTTTTTTTTGGGCAATTGGGGTTAAGTGACTTGCCTAGGGTCACACAGCTAGTTAAGTGTCAAGTGTTTGGTCTGAGGTCGGATTTGAACTCAGGTCCTCCTGACTTCAGGGCCAGTGCTCTATCCACTGTGACACCTAGCTGCCCCCCACCCCCTCCTTTTACCCCAAACCTTGCTTCCCCTGAGGACATCACATCCCAGCAACCCTCCCCATGGGAGGCTACTTCTTCTCCCTCAATGGACTCCCCACAAACACTCCAGAACATTTGCCTTCCATCATTACTCAACAAACTTTCCTCTTTCAAAAGCATGAGATCATAGGACCAGTGATCTAGGGCTGGAAGGCTCCTCAGAGGCCATCTGGTCCAGCCTTTTCCTTTTACAGAAGAGGAAACTGAGGCCCTACAAGGTTAAAAGATTTGCCCAGGGGCAGCGAGGTGGCACAATGGATAGAGCACCGGCCCTGGCGTCAGGAGGACCTGAGTTCAGATCTGGCCTCAGACACACAACACTCACTAGCTGCGTGACCCTGGGCAAGTCACTCAACCCTGACTGCCTCACTGGGAAAAAAAAAGAGAGAGAGAGAGAGAGAGAGAGAGAGAGAGAGAGAGAGAGAGAGAGAGAGAAGATTGAGATTTGCCCACAATTACACATGTATGAAATCACAGAGCTGGGAGAATCCCCAGAGGCCATCTGGTCCAGAGATGAGGAAATTGTAGACATCTTAAACTCAACATGCCTGAAAGGGAACTCATTATCTTTCCCCTTTGATACTCTCTCCAGGGATATGACTGGCTTAATTAAGGTCACACAGAGAGTAAGCATCTAGGCGGGATCGGAATCCAGGTCCTATAAGATCAGCTTGGGTCCTCTCTCCATCTTGGCTTTTGGCTTCTACTGACCTTTGGGTCATTCTCCCAACTAATTCCAACTAGTTCACAGTCTTCTCCACATAATCCCCTGCCACTATGCGTGGAGATGTCAACATTTGTGTTGACAAGCCCTCTGACATTCTGTCCCCAACAACCTGTTCCATCATACTCCATCTAAGTTTGCTGAGAGTCCTTGGAGAAGTCTGCAAAATAGGACTTATCTGATGCACTTCCTCATCCGGGTTGTTATTTAAATCAGTCATGTTCCTTTTCTGTCCCCTCTGCCCCCTACTTTTTTACATTGAACCTGGGATTTCATTGGTACGGGGAGTTCCTAGTAAGGAAATTGTCTCTACCCATACAGATTAGGACCTGCTCAGGAGAGCTTCCTGGAGGATTGTTGAGTAATTTGCCCAGGGTCACACAGCCGGGATGTTTCAGAGGCAAGACTTGAACCTGGGTCTTTCTGCTCTGGGGTCAGCTCTCTACCACCCCAAGCTACGGGGCCTCTCATTCTATCTTTATCCCCTTTGCATCTCGTTCCCCACAGCGACTGCTCCAAAGCCAGGCTGCCAACACACCCACACACCATCTCACTCCACTGAGGGTAATGGAGAACATCCAGTAGGATTTTCCTCCTCTGTCCCTCAGATGGCATCAGCAGCCTCTTTCCTCCTGGATGCCAGTCACCAGAGATGGGTTTTTCCCATTACCCACTAGATCTCACCCTTTATTTCCCATCTTGTCCCCAATTCCCTCCCGCCCTTCCCAGATCAGTCACCACTGCCTTTCTCTCATGCCTCTTCACTCCCTCCCTTGCCACTGGCTCTTTCCTATCTACCTACAAACACACCCAGATCTTACTAATCCTTTAAAAAAAAAAGCTTCCTTTGGCCTTTATATGTCAGCTAGCTACCATTCTGTCTTCTTTCCTCTCCACCACTCCTAGCTTCTCAAAAATTTGCAATCTGTTTCATCACTCTGTGTCAATCCCTTGACATCCGATTTTTATTCTCCATTCACTAGAGAAACCCATGCGAAGTCATGAACAGGTTCATGAATGATAGCACGGCACGTTGGGAAACCTACCAGATTTGGAGACAGAGGACCTGGGATCAAATTCCAGGTAGCTGTGTGGCTTTGGGCAAGTCACAACTTTTCTGAGTCCCACTTCCTGGACTCTACAATGAGAGGGGTCTAGACTAGATGCCTGGCCTCACAAGATGAGGTGGCCTGACTCTTTACCAGGGCTAACCCCTCTGCCTGCTCATTCTGTCCCTTCTCCTCCAACAGATCGGCCCCACCCTATCATCCCTCTTTTTCACCTTCATCCCCTCCCTGTCTACTGGCTCATTCCCTACTGCCTACAAACATGCCCATGTCTCCCTGATACTGAAAAAAAAAAACCCTCATTTGATTCTTCCAACCCCACTATCATCTTACATGGGGAAGGCTTCCTGTAGACGGTGGGATTTTAGTTAGGACTTAAAGGAAGCTCAGTAGTCAGAGCGTTCCAGGCACGGTGGATGGCCCAGAGAAAACGCCCAAAGCCGAGAGATGGAGCGTCTTGCTTGTTTGCGGACCAGCCAGGACGCCAGGGTCACTGGGCCAGAGTACGTGTGGGGAGTGAGGTAGGAAGACTGAAGAGGGAGGAGGGCACAGGAGTCCGCTATGCCAACTCCAAGCCAATGATTTAGGAGATGACAACAAACGTGAGGAGGAAGGGGGATGGGGTTTCAGCAGAGACCCGAACTCACCATCTGGTCGGCCAAGAGAAGGACGGTCTTGAGGCTGAACTTGCGGGAGCAGAAATTGAAAAGGTCTTCCAGGCTGGGGCCCAGCAGCTCCATCACCATGACATTGTAGTCCCCCTCCGCGCCGCACCACTTGATAGAGGGGATCCCCACTGTGAGGGGCAGAGGGGAAAGAGCATCACTCCAAGGTCCCTGCCGATGGGAGCCCCGACTCTCCCCACCAAGCGCAGAGGAGTCCCAAGCCCTGAGACACAGACCTGGAGATCCCCTTTATCAAGGCCTTCTAGACGTACACAGAAGGAGTGCAGAGGAGCCGGCACCTCGCCCAAGGTCACACGAGGGCCAGGTCTCCCCTTCACTGTGGCGCCTCCACCACCTTCAGCAGAGGCCATGTACCCGCTCCGGGGCCCACTCACCTCCTCCCTGCATCATCTTGTAGAACTTGCTTTCAATGTGCAGCTGGGGGTGCTTCGTTTTCACACATTCCAGCTTAATGGCCACCTCCTCCCCGGAAGCAATGTTGGCACCTGAGGAGGCAAGCAAGGTGGGCTATGGTCAGAAGGACAGGATGGGACCGCGGCTTTGGAACATAAGTGGGAGGGAGCCTAGAACAGGGAATGGCAGAGCTGGGAGGAGCCTTCAACAGATGATGTCAGAGCTAGTAGAGGCCTTAGAACAGGGAATGTCCTAGCTGGGAGGGGCCTTAGAACAGAAAATGTCAGAGCTGGAAAGGACCCTAGAACAGGGAATGCCAGAGATGGGAAGGAACCTTAGAACAGAAAACATCAGAGCTGGGAGGGGCCTTAAACAGATGATGTCAGAGCTGGGAGAGGCCTTAGAACAAGGAATGTCAAAGCTGGGAGGGGCCTTAAACAGATAATGTCAGAGCTGGGAAGGGCCTTAGAACAAGGAATGTCAGAGCATAGAATGTTAGAGCTGGAAAGGGATTCCAGGGAGCATCGGGTCCAAAGCAGTCATTTTTACTGAGGTGAAGGGACTTATGGGGACATTTCTGTAGCATTTTAAGGATTGGAAATATTATGTTATTTGATACTCACAATAATCCTGGGAGGTGCAGTATCTTGCCCAGAGCCGCACAGTGCCTGAGGCTGGATTTGAACTCAGGCCTTCCCAGCTCTAGGTCCAGAACTCTAATGCTCCCCATCATCTAAGCTGCCCAAGGTTATATAGCTGGCATGAGCCAGTATTGGAACCCAGGTCCTCTGACTTCAGAAATCTAGAGTGCTTCCACCCTGTCACCTCTGTTGTCTTTCTCTCTCCAACCCCTCCTTCACACCCATTGCCAGCCGGTGGTACCATGGTGCACCAAGCACTGGGCCTGGAGTCAAGAAGACCTGAGTTCAAATGCAGGCTCAGACAGACTAGTCACAAAGCATCATCTCCCTACCTAGCTGTAAGCACCATGACGGAAGGGGTTCCATTTCATCTAAACAATCGTAGCTCGCCCTGCACTGCTTTACAGAGAATCACGCGGGCAAAGCAAACTAAAAGACACCATACAGGAGAGGGAAAAAGAAGACGTACCGGGGCAGGTAGCGCGATCTGGGGATGCCCCGTGGATGGCCCGCGTGCGCCACTGGGACCCACAGGATGACAAAGAACTCAAGGAAGGCCCAGCACACTGGGTGGGCCTTCTGGGGCCTCACGGATGAAATCCCAGACCCACTGGAGCACTTGAGTACCTCTGCCAGTCTAACCCAGTGCTTGGCACACAGGAGGTGCTTAATAAATGCTTGCAAGATGACTGGCTAGGGAATGTTAAATGGGGTCTAACTTTCCAGCTTTGTCCTCATTTGCTGCCCACCCAAGTTTATGTCACCTATTTGTTCAGGAGCCACGAACTGAACGCTACCCCACACACTTCCATGATAACACAAGGGGGTGAGACCCCAGCCACCAAAGCCAAAGGAACCACTCCCTCTTCCTCCCATTCAGCCTTGGCCTCTCTTTCTATCATCTCTCCAGGTATCTGTTCAATCACACTTACCTCCATCACACCTACTGCCCATCACCAAAGGGTGGTTGGTCCATTTCCACCAAACCACTCATTGCCACTCATTCATTCACTCATCAAACGTTTATTAAGCACTTACTAGGCTCTGAGAACTCTCCCAAATGTCCTAGGGGTAAGACCATTCCCATCCACATGTAGCTGATCCCACAATGAGGAAGAGTGAAAGGTAGTCTTCCCAGAGTGGCCAGAACATTGGACATGGAGTCCAAGGGTAGGATTCAAATTCTGGCTCTGCTTCTTACTGTCTGCATGGTCTGGGGCTAGTCATTTGGCCTTGGTACCTTCACTTCTTCCTCCGTAAAATGAGGACTCGTGAGGTCTGTGAGCTTTAGAAGGAAGGTGACCCTAATCCAAAGGGCTTAGCCTCCATCTGCTGGCTGTGAAGCAGCTTCAGCTCCAGCAGACAACCGCAAACAAGGCTCTTCCTCATAGAGAAGACATCCCTGGGGTGGAAAGTATGACCTGTGTCCTCTCCCACCTGAATCCAACTCCCAAAGCCTCATCCGGAGTCTTAGCGGCTACCTCTCAACAAAGGCCCAGCCCTAAGCCAGGGCTTGGGAAGCACCAAGCTTCCTGGGGACCTCGGGCTGGGTGTTGGATCGCAGAGGCAGATTTCAGTCCAATGTTTGGAAACTCTTCCTGAGAGTGAGAGCCATCCCAAAGTGCAGTGGGATACCCTGGGAGGTGACCCCCACCCCCACCCCAGGTCTTTAAACAGAGGCCTGGATGGCCCCAGAGGTTCTTTCAAATTCTGCAATTCTCTGGCTCCTTGGAGCAGATCCATGGGACCTCGCCTTTGAGCCTCAGGCTTTCTCCTACGCACATTTCTCAGACTTACTGCTATCTCATTCCTGACTTTCCCACCTTGGTCCCTGAACCTTGTTTCCCTAGGGTCAGAGACTGTCTACCCTTGATCCCAGATTACCCATCTGCCTTCGGCCCTCCTTGCTGCCACTAACTCTTGGTCCTTAATTCCGGCACCAATGCGTCCTTGCCCTCTCTGCTCCCATACATTGCAGGACATGGTAGTGTGCCATCTCTAGGGTTTAGGACCACACACAGCTAAAACATAAAGAAAAAGCTTGTGGTAAAGCAAGAATACCTCCAGAAGAGAGAGATGAGGGAGTGTACCTTCTCTCCTTTGTGGAGGGAGGAGGCAACGTGCACTGTCAGATGTGATTGCTGTGTCAGTTCCCCCATCCTGCTTTTAAATGTTCATTATCTGTCTATCCATCTATCCATCTATCTGTCTATCTATCCATCTATCTATCCATCCATCTATCCATCTATCATCTATCTATCCATTATCTATCTATCCATCCATCTATCCATCTATCCATCCATCTGTCCGTCCATCCATCTATCTATCCATCCATCATCTATCTATCCATCCATCCATCATCTATCTATCCACCATCTATCTATCCATTCATCTATCTATCTATCCATTCATCTATCTATCATCCATCATCTATCTATCCATTATCTATCTCTCCATCCATCATCTATCTATCCATCCATCTATCCATCTATCCATCCATCTGTCCGTCCATCCATCTATCTATCCATCCATCATCTATCTATCCATCCATCTATCCATCCATCATCTATCTATCCACCATCTATCTATCCATTCATCTATCTATCTATCCATTCATCTATCTATCATCCATCATCTATCTATCCATTATCTATCTCTCCATCCATCATCTATCTATCCATCCATCATCTATCTATCCATCCATCATCTATCTATCCATCATCTATCAATCCATCATCTATCTATCCATTCATCTCTCTATCCATCCATCTATCTATCTATCTATCTATCTATCTATCTATCTATCTATCTAATTTCTTTCTCTTTCTTTCCTTCTTTCTGTTTGTTTTTTGAGACCAGTCTCCCTATCTCACCCAAGCTAAAAGTACAGAAGTTACTCTTGGTTTGGTCCCATTACTGATCAGCACAAGGAAGGGAAAGGAGGGGGAAGGAGATAAGCATTTATATGGTGCCTACTGTGTGCCTGGTACTGTGCTATGCGCTTTACAAATATCATCTCATTTGATCCTCACATCAACCCTGGAAGGTAGATGCAATTACTATCCCCATTTTACAGTTGGGAAAACTGAGGCAAACAGGGGTCATGTGACTTGCCAAGGGTGGCGTGTCAGTGTCTGAGGCCTTCCGGACTCCAGGCCCACAGCCTGTTTCCTTTCCAACCTGGGCCTGTTTCCCTCACCCTCGGCATCTGGAGTCCGCCATATTGGTGTGATTCATTAGCCCAATTGCAAGCTCAAGCGATCTGCCAATCTTGTTCTCTCCCAGCAGTGGGATTATATGTTTTCAACACTCTGCCTGGCTTTTTATTCTTTGTCACAGGAGGTGGCTCTATTTGGAAAGGGGAGAGGGGAGGGCAGTATTTGGAAATGAAGGTAATGAAAAAAAACAAAATATATTCACAAATTTTAAAAAGAGAGTATAGCTATCAAAGACATCTCCCCAGTCCAGACGCAGTGGGTGTTCCTAGCTTACTCGCTATTCTTGTTCCCTGGGCCACTTGGGCTCTCCACAGAGCCCCCACCCAGTGTCCTCGGCTCCTCTGGTCCAAGGCCACCCCTAGCCAATGTGAGATGGGCACTAGAGTTCCCTGAATGGAACCTATTGGGCGGCTCAGGATTCCAAGCCCATTCCTGGCCAAGCAGGAAATCTCCTGAGTCCTCTGGGAACCCCACTCCTATACGGTTCCTAGGTGACAGCTGCTTCCCCCTCTAAAGGTGAGAGGAGAAAGATTCTCCCATCAAGGACATTAATACAGGTGTTTCCACCAAAGTTCATACAAGACAAGGCTCCTCCTCAGGTCTGCTGCCCAGCCGGCCCCCAGAAGGGTGAGGAAGGTAAGCTTCCCCATCTTCCAGCATCTCCTCTACTTCATGAACCTAGAAAGTGGTCCAGACAGTCCCTCCTCCGTGGCCCCATTTGTCTCCCAGCTGTCTGGCAAGATGGAGGCTCATAGATTCTATCTATGGGTCAACCACAGTTCCAACTGGCAATAAAAGACAAATAAGTACTTTCTTCTTGGTCTCAGTTTCCTTAGCCAGCAATGGGCTGAGTGATTCAGGGAGGGGGTGGAACCACCCTCCCCAAATATCTCTGAAACCAAGACAGGCTCACAGCCGTGGAGGGTGTCCTTGTGCGGCCCTGTCTGGAGGGAAGGCACCCTCAACTATCCTGATACCCAGCCAGGAAGCGCCATAAAAAAACCTGGAGAATCTCAACGCTAGAAGGGACATCAGAGGTCCACAAGTCTGATCTAGAACCAGAAAGGCGGACTGGTCAATGGATAGTGTGATGGACTTAGAGTCAAGTACAGAAGACATGGGTTCAAATACTGCCTCCTCAAACACGTACTAGCTATGTGACCCTAGGAAAGTCATGTAGCCATGCTGATCCTCAGTTTCCTGTTCTGTAAAATGAGATTGAGCTAAATGGCC